AACCAAGACTGGTTGTGTGAGAATGCTTCAGAACTGAGAGTTGGACATCGTGGACTTGACAAAAACAGCTTAGAAATAAAAATATATATTTACCATGTATAAATGGATACTACAGTTTATCTTGGTATGCCAGATCAGAGGACAAAGTATCTGGCTGGCCAGGGCAGAGATGCTAGACTCAATGGGCTCTCTATCAGATCCAGCAAGGCACTTGTGTTACATTTTAAGGCAATTAACACCTACTGGATGATCAAAAAGTAAAAAGGATCTATTTTCCCTCTTTTTTTCTCTGCCCCCCCCAGCAGTTGTTTATATTTTAAACCAAATAAATTCATACAGCTGATTCAGTTCCCACTGAATAGTTAGGGTCACTGGTTTGCAAGATAGAAATTATCCCTGCACCATTAAACCCACTCCTGAGTGGGAGCCATTGCAGCTATTCCAGCCAGATTTTCTCCTATTTCCTTATGCATCCTCTACCACCTGCTGAAGCCAAGAGCAAACCAGGTGTGCCATTCAGAAGGTAAGAAAGAGGCAGATGAAAGGGTGAGGAAGGACTGAAATGTCTCAACATGCCATTTAGTGAAAGGTTTAAATTAGGGACCGGCAGCTGTCCTGATTACAGATCATAAAGCTGAATTAGCAAAGTCTGACTGAAACATTTTGCTTTCTTTGGGTGGAGCAGAAAATGGCTTTCCCCTCTGGGTGTCAAAGTGCCTAAAGTCTGATGCTGGCCAATTATTTTGGCACCTGAGGCAGAAACACCATCCTGGGCTCTCTCACCTGGGTTACCACATTTATTACTGTTGTATTTTCAGGAGCTTCTACAGGCTCCTCATGGGGCATATTTAGGGAACATCTGGGCTTTCTGCTAGCTCTTACCTGCAGTTGGCTTGTTGGAGAGGTTGCTGTTCTGGTAAATAGGCTGTGGGGTCTCATTCTGGGGTTGTCCAATCACTGGGGTCAGAGAAGGTGTGTTCACATTGGACAGGATACAACCAGTAACTCGCTGGAAGAAATGGCCAAAGTTAGTTTTCATTTTCGTATGCTTGGCTCATAGGTATCCACTGAGAAAGAAGAATTTAGGCTTTTGTGTGTGTGTAAAAGCTGCCCTTAGCCAATTTTCTTTCTGCAAATCTGCCAAAAACCTGGGCCACATCTTTCACTCTTTTGGTTCTCCACCCTCGGTCAGCAGGACTGTGTGAGTATTCCTATGTTCAGATCAGACCATAGCAAGTTATTTGGGAAAAGTACTGCCAAAGTCCTAATCACGTCTGAAACTTTCCATGTGTTTGAAAGCACCTCCCAATTATCAAAAAGGATAAGGCGATAAATAGCTATTAGTTTCAATGGCTATATACTATCACCAGGGAATAGGTCTCTCTCTTAACATCTGTAGCTGGGAATCACTCACTGAAAGGGTTCTTGTGCTTATGGTTCAGAGGCTTCTACCTGGGAATGAAACAAAAAAGCGCCCCTAAAAGTAGATCTTTGGACTGATCAAGGTTCCCCTGATGCTCTTAAGAGAGACCTTGGGGCTTTAGACCTTTGTTGATCATTTTGCCCTTTGCCAAATTGTATTTGAAAGTGTACGTTTTCCAGTCCAAACTGTGACAGAGGTAGCAATGTCAGCGTCCATGAGCAAAGAAAGGCATTTAGTTCAGCCAAGAGGCAGGGAAGAAGGATTGCTCATGGTGGACTGCAAGCAAAACCAAGACAAGGCATCAGAGGCTGTTTGTGTCCACTTCACTTCTGCTTGCCTGTTTGAGCACCACTGCTTCAAGAGACTGCAAATATTTTTCTTTCTTTTTTCTTCCAAAATCCACATATTCTTTGAAGCCTTTGGTTTAATCCCTCAAACCACCCTTCTTCAACCTGATGCCTATAGAATGGTTTGGATTACAACAACTAGAATTCTCAGCTGGTATACTAGGGGTTGTGGTAGATGTAATTCTGACACAACCTGAAAGCACAAAGCTGGGGAGGTTTGCTTTAGGTGATGTTTCATTGTATGCAGGTCAGATGTTAGTGGTAAAGCTGTCAATTTCATTGAACCAAAAGTTCTAATACTTGGGTGAGGCTGGGCTGAACATCTTTAGACAAGTCTTCTGAACAAGAGAACAGGCTTTGGTGGCTTTTTTTTCTGCTTATGGGTCTCGGAGCCCATATTAGACTGTTAATGAGTTCACATAGCATGCTTAGCTCAGTCAGTGATGTATCATTACTAGAGTAGGAGAAGGTTGGTTCTAATCTCAAACTGTGCCTAGACAAATTAAACTGTCTCCTGAACCTGAAAAATCCATTCAACTATGGGGCAAAGTCAGAAAATCAGTCCTGGAGAGAAAAGAAACAGAATTACAAAGCAGCTAAAAACAACGTGGTCCATTGACAAACTTGCTGCTGTGGGCTGGCAGCCATAAAATATACGTCCTAAATACTGATAGGAAGCATTGGACCTGGCTTGGGGACAGGACTGGACTTAATTAAGCCTTCTTGGTGCAAGGAGTCATGGAATACTAGGCAGGAAGTGGGCAGGGGCTTTGATGTCTCCCAAATAGCTGCTCAGTTCGCATGGCTGTTTGAAAGGGATTATGACTGGGTTAATGTCTGACTACAATAACCTTTTTGTATTAACCAGGCCATTGTTTGATTGCATTTATCCCCTGTTAACTTTGCCTATACTTTGCTCTATCCCCTTTCTACTGTTGGAATTGAGATATATCAACAAATAGAACCCCTTCCATTTGCCTAAATTGTACTTTGAAGGGCTCCAGACTGTGCAATCGTGATACTGGGTGTAATGTTCTAGTAACAATCTGAATAGAAGAAGCAATCACCCTGACTCACAAACAGACTTCTTACAGTTTTAAGCAACAGGGTATCCTCAAGTTTGCATAGCACAAATTTGGTTTTGCCTAAGGTGTTCACCTTGCTTGGTGAATTTAAAATTCACTGGCAGATCAGAAAGATGCATTAAATTTGAAACACCTGGCGACCTAAACAGGCCATCCTGTCCATTTATTTTTTCAAAGGGGGACTTTTTCAAATTCCTTATATTGTGCATTTGCAAAAAAGAGGCTTTTAAAAAATGTATTCCAAAAGAAGCCTGATTGGTTTCCATCAAATCAAGACATTTTTATTCACCTTAATGTTCTAAATTCACAGTATATTTCTTGAGATAGATATATTATTGCTGTGCTGTAATGATGTAATAGTTACACCTTTTTTAATATTCTTGTCTTTAAAAAAATCTTATCACTACCTCTTAATTCTGTATAGAACATGGTTTAGACACTTTTAAAATGATCCAATGCACAAGTAATGGCAGAATGAAAAAAAGTGAGTCACCAAAGACTGTATTTAGCCTAAACCTGTTTTGTTTTGTTTTTTAAAAAAGGTCAAATAAGAATGCACTGAATGAAATGTACCAATAGAGGTGAATAGTTGTAGCTCAGGGTTGAACTGTGGAGTCCTTGGGGTTCTCTGAGCTTGGTTCTTTTCTTGCAAACGTTTCATTACCTCGCTAGGTAACATCTTCAATGCTAAAACCCCATCCCATTTTAGCACTGAAGATGTTACCTAGCCGGATAATGAAATGTTTGCATGAATGAAATGCATTATGCTATAAAGGGAACAGTCTTTCTTCCTGCCACCAGGGAGTGCTATGTTCTTTCCTTCTGTAAAAGAAAAGGAGCAATAAAGAGGTTGAATATATCAAGCATTGTGTTGGCAAGAAAGTAAAACTATTGTTTTAAAATTGAAAGGGCACAGGAAAAGTTTGGCCTACCAAAGGATTTATTTTCTTTGAATATATGGATATACATACATCTATGCCTATAATTATATCACAACAATAATGTGGAGTTAGCTATCAAATCGTCTTCTGTAACAGCCTTCCCAAATGTCCTGTGTTACACATGCTGCTCCCAGGTTCGGCTTATGGTCACTCCCTCACACACTCACAGCCTGTTGAGGCACGCAGATCTTGTCAGCCCCCCCCCCCTTGCTTTCTACCTGGGTTTTCCAGATAGGTGCAGCTGGAGCAGACAGACACACAGCCCTGGTCAACAACCGGGAAATAATCAGGGATTCACACAAATCACTTCCAACAGAACACTGA